AAAAGCATTCCGTGGGCCATTTTCGGAAACTTTTTCTTTAAAACGTCTCTTTTTTCAAAGAACACTTAAGGTGTCTGGCCCTCTTTAAAAATCGCTGCTCATAATCAGGCTCTGAAGCCTGCGAGTTTGGTCAAGGAAAGCAAAAGCGGCAGGGTTTGGAAGAGACTGTGAGCAAGCAGTGTCACTTTCTCCAGCCTTTTTTGCTTTGACATAGCAGCCACAAGTGCCTTCTAAAATGCTGTCTTGGCAGCGGTGGGATTCGAACCCACGCCTCCTAAGAGGCTGGAGCCTAAATCCAGCACCTTAGACCCCTCGGCCACGCTACCCTTTCGTGAGCTGTCTCTTGCCCATATTTTTATTCATAAATAATGAAAACTTTGGGTGGAGAGCTTCATCGTCAGGCTCTGAAGCCATCGAGTTCGGCCAAGGAAAGCAAAAGCGGCAAGGTTTGGAAGAGACTGGTGTCACTTCTCCAGTCTTTTCGCTTTGGCATAGCAGCCCAAAAGTGCCTTCTAAAATGCTGTCTTGCAGCGGTGGGATTCGAACCCACGCCTCCGAAGAGACTGGAGCCTTAGTCCAGCGCCTTAGACCGCTCGGCCACGCTACCTTATGAGAAAGCATTCCGTGGGCCATTTTCGGCAACTTTTTCTTTAAACGTCTCTTTTTTCAAAGAACACTTAAGGTGTCTGGCCCTCTTTAAAAACGCTGCTCATAATCAGGCTCTGAAGCTGCGAGTTTGGTCAAGGAAATTAAAGCGGCAGGGTTGGAAGAGACTGTGAGCAAGCAGTGTCACTTCTCCAGCCTTTTTGCTTTGCATAGCAGCCACAAGTGCCTTCTAAAATGCTGTCTTGGCAGCGGTGGGATTTGAACCCACGCCTCCGAAGAGACTGGAGCCTTAATCCAGCGCCTTAGACCGCTCGGCCACGCTACCTTATGAGAAAGCATTCCGTGGGCCATTTTCGGAAACTTTTTCTTTAAACGTCTCTTTTTTCAAAGAACACTTAAGGTGTCTGGCCCTCTTTAAAAATCGCTGCTCATAATCAGGCTCTGAAGCCTGCGAGTTTGGTCAAGGAAAGCAAAAGCAGCAGGGTTTGGAAGAGACTGTGAGCAAGCAGTGTCACTTCTCCAGCCTTTTTGCTTTGGCATAGCAGCCACAAGTGCCTTCTAAAATGCTGTCTTGGCAGCGGTGGGATTCGAACCCACGCCTCCTAAGAGGCTGGAGCCTAAATCCAGCGCCTTAGACCCCTCGGCCACGCTACCCTTTCGTGAGCTGTCTCTTGCCCATATTTTTATTCATAAATAATGAAAACTTTGGGTGGAGAGCTTCATCGTCAGGCTCTGAAGCCATCGAGTTCGGCCAAGGAAAGCAAAAGCGGCAAGGTTTGGAAGAGACTGGTGTCACTTCTCCAGTCTTTTCGCTTTGGCATAGCAGCCAAAAGTGCCTTCTAAAATGCTGTCTTAGCAGCGGTGGGATTCGAACCCACGCCTCCGAAGAGACTGGAGCCTTAATCCAGCGCCTTAGACCGCTCGGCCACGCTACCTTATGAGAAAGCATTCCGTGGGCCATTTTCGGCAACTTTTTCTTTAAACGTCTCTTTTTTCAAAGAACACTTAAGGTGTCTGGCCCTCTTTAAAAATCGCTGCTCATAATCAGGCTCTGAAGCCTGCGAGTTTGGTCAAGGAAATTAAAAGCGGCAGGGTTGGAAGAGACTGTGAGCAAGCAGTGTCACTTCTCCAGCCTTTTTGCTTTGGCATAGCAGCCACAAGTGCCTTCTAAAATGCTGTCTTGGCAGCGGTGGGATTTGAACCCACGCCTCCGAAGAGACTGGAGCCTTAATCCAGCGCCTTAGACCGCTCGGCCACGCTACCTTATGAGAAAGCATTCTGTGGGCAGGGGTGGTAAAAGTACTCAAAAGTTGTACTCGAGTAAAAGTATATATACCTAAATAAAATATTACTCCAGTAAAAGTAGAAAGTCCTCCATTCAAACATCACTTGAGTAAAAGTACAAAAGTATCCGATTTAAAAAGTACTTAAGTACCGAAAGTAAAAGTAAATATTCAAATAAACTGTAAATATAAATAATTATGCAGATCAATTATTTTGGGGTGATATGCAATTATTTAATTGAACAGATGATGAGATTACATACCGCAATTAAGAATTTGTTAGATTTGCAATCATAAGAGACAATAACAGGAGATTTAAAGGCTGTTAAATATTTCTATGTTCACTGTTACATTTTACTGTTTAGAAGATTGATCTCCTTTAAATCTCCTTTATAAATACTTTACAAGGCATGCATACTCACTTTAGATGAGCTCACAAATAGTTAACTGACCACTACTAATTGCTTTATAACTACCTGTATTTACTACATTTACTTACACTTTCTAAGTGATGAATGACTGAGAACTCTTAAATAAC